GTGAACAGTGTAAGACGGATAATCGGTTTGGAATTCATGAGGAAGCTTGGGGCTGAAGATAGAGATTTGGGAGTTATTAGTTTTGGCATCTAAAATCATGAATAAAATTTCTAGAGTTAGAATGTAGAGCAAACTGAAAAAGTGGATGATAAATATTAAAATATATAAAAGAGTTAAGTAAAACAGTACTGCTGAACACACTTGAGTATAGGTTAACTAACCTTTATTGGCTACCTACTATAGGCCAGGCTTTGGTGATATTTGAGATTTTAGACATTACAAAAACAGTACAATTTTGGAATGGAAATTAATCATGTTTATAACTGTCTTATTTCAGGCATGAAATGTTGTGCATTTTCAGGTTTAAAAATGTAGAAAACAACAGTGTTTGACATTAATAAATGTAATAGAAAATGTATTTAAATATAATAAATCATTTGTATTTGTGGCAAGATCTTACTAGAAAAAGGTGATATTAAAGATAAAGACTTACGGATAATTTAGAAAAAGTTTCTTGTAATTTTTGGTGATTTAGAAATTGATGGTACTGATTCTTTATTATATATGCCTCCATTATATGTCTTCATATGATAAATATGTTGTCATTTAATTTTTTGACTTTGGTTTGAGGAAGTTTCAACTCTAGGTCTGATATTCTTGATAGAATATGTGTTGGGTTGCAAAGGAATTTAAGAGAGTGATAAAGAGAAGGTACCAGGGAGATATTCTACTGAACAGACTGAGAAATAGGAGGAAAGGGAAAGGGACTTTAGTAGAATGGACTGAGATGAGAATACTTTGCTGTTAATGTTATCAGAAAAATAGCAAGGAAAAGTACAAAATTTCTTTTTGGATAGTGATGAGGAATACAGTTTCCTATTTTGACCACATATAATTATATATTTAAGATTTATATGTTTTATTTTAAAAGGAGTAGAAAATCATATTTTTTGTGATAAATGAAGAGAGAATGATTCAAATTTTACATATTTTTGTAATTAACATGTTCCCGCACAACTGCACCAGCATTGTGCTAAGTTATTTAAACATATTTTCAATTAATGTCTACAAAAACCCAATGAGTAATTGTTGTCTATTTTTTACGAACTGGCTTAGAAAAGTTCCACAAATTGTTCAAGGCCACCCAGTTAGTAGCTAGTAAGAGGTAGAAATGGGATGAGAATTCAGATATCCAAAGCCTATTCTCAGAATCTTGTGGTCATCCTTGTTAAGGGTTTAACATTCAGGGAATATGTATACAGTGAAGAAAGATTAAAAAAAAAAAGGTAAAGAATCAAATATTGATTAAAGCCTTGGAGTTCAGAGGAGAAACATGACTAGAGTGACCATAGCAGCAGTAGTATTTATTCTGAGGAAGTGAGAACCAATGATATGCTACGCATGTACTACATCAGTTATTTTAACAATTTCAGTACATACAGAGCTCTCTCTCTCTCTCTCTCTCTCTCTCTCTCTCTGCTTTTCCCACCCACCTCAATGGCTGACATGGAAAATATAATTTCAGTGGTCAAAAACTAGTTGAAGTTTCTCAGACGCCACATATATGCATATACATTTGCATTATACACATATAGTGTGTGTGTGTGTGTGTGTGTGTGTGTGTGTGTGTGTGTGTGTGTCTGTGTGTCCATAGCTAAGCTGTAATTCGTATTCTTGAAAGAAAATTATACTTGCAGGACTAATAGATTCTTTTCTTTTTGGAATATTGGGCCGGCATTATTTTTGAGGTACCTCCATCAAGGAAACAATTATATTTTCTAGCCACCAGAAACTGAACTTCTAAGATATCGTTCCCTCTAAAAACTTGTCAGTAATTAAAAATGAAGCAGTACTCATGGTAAATGTGTCACATTATATTAAAACAGTGAGATGGAAGAAGCAAAACTACACAGGGTAAATTGATAGATTTGTTAAAATTGAGGGTTACAAGGTCTCATATTAGACTAAAAGCTATTTTTCTACAAAAATATGTGATAAAAAGAGTATACATTTTTCTCACTAGCATTCTTCCTTGTTATTTAATTCTCTTTGAGCCATTGTTAAATACTAACAAATTTGGTTTGGAATGAGTTTTGTAAGATGATTTTTAGAGACTGTTACTTGATAAGCATACATTTTGATAAAGACAACCATCAAATACTGTTTTTGCCTTTATCAATGTGAAGTAATGAATATCTGCAACTGGATTATAAAAAAAAAGGAAAGGAGAGACACTAGCTTGCTTTAGAATTTTTAAGAAAGTATGTCATTCAAAATGGCAAAGAGAGTGTATAGGATTCTAAGGTATTGCTATTTCACAGCAATATTCATTGAGAAACTTCTTTTGCTTTATGACCCACCATGCTGTTTTATTGTGGCTTTTGTTGAGATGCAACCTCTGTATTTATACTGACTATGGAATAGATACCACTGAAAGTTTGACACCTTATTGGGGAGATGCATATACTACTCTACTTAACTGCTTTGCCTATGGATTGTGATGTCTCACATTTATTAGTAGAAATTAAAAGAAATTTTAAGCAAGCAGCCTGAATTTAGCCTAAGAACTACAATTCTCCATTTCTGTAACTTCATTCTAGTCACTTTTTAATTTATGGATAGCATAAATAAAATTCCTGACTACTAAAAAATATATTATTGAAGATCATGAGGTCAAATTTATTTAACATTTAAAAAAATTACATGTATTAAAATCTTGAGTCAATAATTCTGTAACAGCCATGGGTAAAAATTGGGAAAAACAAGATATTCTGGAACATTAATTTTTTTCTGATTTATTATAATCTCACAGCCCAGAGTTCCTCTTAATAGTTTATTGTAAGATGAAGATGAATTATATAATAAAATTTATTTTTGTTTTCTTCACTATCAACCTTAAACAATATTCACATTGATTAAAATAATCAGTTTGAAAAGACTAGTTGAGTTTGGGGCAAATTTTGCTCCACTATCTGTAGACAGCTAACTGATACTGTATACTTTATTTAGAAAACAATAACAATTGCATAAAATGAGTTATACTTTTAAATAGCAGGTGAGAAGTTGGAGAACCTTGAGTTACATAGATTGTACTTGAGATGTAAAAGACTTTCCTTTTTTTCCTTAAATATTATTTTAATCCCACTTGAAAAAAGTTAATCTCTATTTTTAAAAAGAAAGAATTGTAGATTGGAGGAAACTAATGAATAAATCAATCAAATATTAGAGCTGTAAATACAGTTACTGTGATTTTAGTGTGTTTAATAAACTACTGTGAAGCACACACTTACTCATGTAACAACAAGGTGGAGAATTTGAGTCTCACAGTTAACAGAGAGAAACAACAAACATATTTGTGATTTATATTAATTCACGTACAAGAAAAGTCTTACATTTTTTGAAAAAGATCAAGATCCTTTTGCTGAGAAACAATAGGAAAACGAACAATCTTAATGAAATATAAATATTAAGTTGGATGCTGAATCCCTAAATTAGGACACATAAATTTGATGTGTTCACTTGAAAATCAACAGCAACAAACAAAGAAAAATACAGATCTTTGATTTGCTATTATTGCAAGCATAATTTCTCAAATTATAAGAAAAAGTGGTGTTATCTACAGCCAATAGAAAAGTTACTCTGGAGGAAGAATAGGTTGTTGGGTAATGTTATCAAAGTCAGTTTGATTTACTTTTCTGCTGAAATTTTACCTTTACATATTACTGAAAAATTTAACAAAATATTAATATATCATCTTTGACAAATGAAATAAAAATCCAACTAGCTTTACAATAACCTCTAAATAAGAAAAGAACCTATAACTCTAAACAGAAAGAACATTATTTCTCCAGAAATTAACATTTGGGTGGAGTAGCTGAGAAACTGGGTTTATGTTAGCGAATTAGTGATGTTTCAAGGGGTAAGATTTGGATTATATATATATTTTTAAATAGGCATTAAAAACATAATCTTCTACAATAGTAGATGTACTGGTATATATGAAAAAATCCATGCTTTAAAAAGATTGACATATACTACATAGAAGGCACACTGCCTCACTATATCTGCAAACACATCTTGGTGTTTTCATTTCATATGTTATCAATAAAGCTTTATTTATAATAGTGAAATGCTTCAGGTAGTGAAAAATATATAAATACTATATCATTATCAAGGTGGAAATATCTAGATTAATAGTCTGGTAAGATTCTGGACCCACTTAAAGATGGCCTTGGACGTAATAGTGGTATTATACAGTTTCACACTCTTTTTTTTTCCAAAAAATTTTAACAGGTTTTGCTGGAATTATAATGACAAATTCTAGAAAAGGCGTGTGCTGCCAGATAAGATAATATCAGTGAATATGGAAGCTTTTAGATAGTCCTCTCTTACAGGAGAAAAACAAACAAAAAACATGGGAAACTATAACTTCACAACTTTTTTGGCAAGTCAAAAAAATTAATAAAGAGGAATCACTGAAGAAAAAACAGGTAAGCTGACCTAATAAAGAATAATTATTCAAAAATGAGAGTATGGGATTACATAATTCCTTCTCATCATAAAAGCAAAATTGTTTTTAAATTCTCAAGGGGAAGACGTTAGCCCTTAATTCAAATATTGAATTACTATTAACTTCATTTACGGATACCTCGGTCCTTATTTTTACCTCAAAAATTTAATTGATCACTTGTATGTAATCCAGATTATCAGTCATATATAGAGTATCTGAAACCTTATGCTTAACATAGGATACGGGCTGTGCTATGATCTCTGCACTAGAAACTGGATAATGCCACAACCCTCCACATTATCATCCAAAAGCTTACACAGGGATTGATGCTAGTAATTGTCAGTGCGTGCATATATAACAGTTTTCATTTTATGAAAAAGATTGAAGGAAATTTATTCACACATTTCTTTGTTGACAATCACAAGTGCTTGAGAATAAAGGTTGTGGTTTTTTTGTTTTTTGTTTTTTTGTTTTTGTTTTCGTTTTTTAACACTAAAAGTATCTTGAGAGGCTTGGTTCTTGGTCTCCAGTGCTATCTCACTTTCTGTAGCTCCTGTCTCAGCCATGATGGCAGAGGCTGTCCCAGTCTGTGTAGCAGTTTGGATAGTTCCACGTTATGATCTCGGTAGTAATTAGAGAGGAAACTTCTAGACTGGAAAGAAAAAAAGAAAAAAGAAGAACATGAAAGAAGCTCTTCATTTCATCAAACAGGATTTTGTAATATATATTTCTTAAGGAATGTGTCTATTATCACATAGGGGTCTACAACATTTTTCTTGTATTTTTCCTCAAGTAGCAGTTATTTTTACCTTTTGAAAATATTTGGCAAATGTGTAGCTGCAAAACAGAAATAGGACCAGGTACATTATATTGGCTTATCTGTCATTACAGCACGTATTTATTGTGGGATATATGAAGTCTCCACACGAAGAAAAAATGATGACAGGAGTATAATACTAGAGATAAATGGCATAGGAAACTCATGAGGAATTAAATTTACAGAAGTAAGCTAGGTAAACATACATACATTTTATTTGAAAATTGGACCATAAGACAAAAATTAAATGAGAGCATAATAATAAAAACTAAAATTCACTATTACAAATAATAACTTGCAATATTACATACAACATTTCTGCATTTACTGAGGGCGGAAATATATTTTTTTAGTCACTAAGAGTTTTTGGCTTCCAAAATATTATAAGGTCTCTGAAGCTTGATTCGTTTTAAATATAATTTCTTATATTTCTTTCTTTCTTTCTTTTTTCTTTTTTTTTTTGAGATGGAGTTTCGCACTTGTTACCCAGGCTGGAGTGCAGTGGAGCGATCTCGGCTCACCGCAACCTCCGCCTCCTGGGTTCGGGCAATTCTCCTGCCTCAGCCTCCTGAGTAGCTGGGATTACAGGCACGCGCCACCATGCCCACCTAATTTTTTGTATTTTTAGTAGAGACGGGGTTTCACCATGTTGACCAAGATGGTCTCGATCTCTTGACCTCTTGATCCGCCCGCCTCGGCCTCCCAAAGTGCTGGGATTACAGGCTTGAGCCACCGCGCCCGGCCTAATTTCTTATATTTCTAATCAGGCTGCAGAGATGGGCCTTTATTAGAGAAACTCTAAGTAAAACAAATGAATGGTTTTAGTTTTATATTTATCTTTCATTTACATAGATTTCTGGAAACCAGGACATTTCTAATTGGAATTTCTTTCTGGATGTCACTTATCTCATATTATAACCCAATTGGCAGAGAGTTTTGTCTTTTGATAAAATGAGAGATAAAAACGTTCCCTGTTGCTGGCATAGGTAACAATGGCTCCTTCATTGTTTTCCATTTGGCCCAAGTTCCTCCATCTCTCTTAAGCCCGCCTCAATATTTTAACACAAATAGTCTTTCCATGTAAAACTCCCTTAGCAACTTTTGTGTATACTGTGGAAATGGATTTAAGACAACTACATTTTCATCTTGGACCATTCACCAGATATTTCATTATGTTTCTTCCCTTAAAGCAGATTGCAAACACTTCACATTTTGGATAAGATGTTTATAGTAGTAGTGGGAACATTACATTGATTTCTTGGTGGATTAAAGTGATTTCTGAAACTCTTTTGAAATTATTGTGTTCAAAAATGTAGTTTAAGCACCTTCTGGTACATCTATTTCTATAGTAACCCATGAATCACATGCACCCCTTTGCCCACCTTGCCGTAAGAGAAATATGTATGATACCTGGCTGAGTCAACTACTGGCTGGTTTTGCAAGCCTAATCTACTAGATAAGGCATTTCTTCTCATATTCTATTCTTCTATTGAGATATTTTTCTGCTTTTTCCTAGTTTTATCATTGTTTCATGTTTTATGTCCCTATTACGAATCAGTGCATACAACTAATTTATTTATCCTGTAATAAATCTAGGTTCATAACTCTTTTATCTTTGTATTCTTTCCATTGCTTAGCTCAGTTCCACCTGTGATGTAGGCATTGGATATCTGTATTGAATATATAATAATAATGCTTGAATATTCTATCCAAAATCACTTGCTTAGTAAACTATTTAGGCACTTTAGCATTTGGAAAGAAGTCAGTTTTCAGTAAATATTTATGTTTGAATTGTATTCAAACAGCAAAGAATTTCTAGTAATGTATATTAATCCTTGTATCTATCTACTCATCTATCTATCCATCTATCTATCTATCTGTCTGTCTACTACCTATCAGTTATCTATGTGTCAATTACCTCTATCATCTTCTAAGTATATAAAATTATTAATGGCAAAGAAAGAGCAGAAAAAGTAAGGAAATTGATTGTTACTAGTTTTTAAATAGCTATTTGCAAATATTTTTGCTAGAGTAATTCAAAGATTAAGAGAATATTACCTCTGGATCCATAGGTGGATATTTTCTGCCTTTGCCTTTTCCAAGGCATTTTGTCTTTCCTCCTTCCAGTAGTTGACACCAAAAACCCTTTTGGGGATCAAACCTACAATATATATAAAAAAACAGAATGATTATAAACTGTATATGGAATTTTCAGGGAAAGAGCCTCAACAATTGGATAAAGGAAATGAATTTTTATATGCCTATTTTTACAGACATGTATTTAGCTGATTGGAGAGGGGCTGAGATGAAAGAAGCTATATGTTATTATCTATTTTAAGTAGCTATACTCTAATGAAAAAAGATATAGATCTTTAAGTTTATGTTAAAATTTTTAACTTAATTTCCTTAGCTTACCTATTCATAACAGATCAAAGACCAATCACTAAAATTACAGCCCATTATACAAAGGAACTTTAGGATATTTTATTTACTTATGGATATGATTTCAAAGATATGTTAACAGATTTATTTGAAGTCATTCATCAGTATACATTAAAGGGGTTGAATGTAATGTAGCTATACTTCTGTGAATACAAACATGAACTAAAGCTTTCAATTTGCAAAATACTGCATTTTTTTTTTTTTACAGTTCCAAATGGTTACACTTTTTAAAAACAAATTAGAAGTGTAAAAATAAAGTGGAAGATTAGACAACTTCTTACTTCTTTTGCTAAAGGCAGATACTCTATTAGATAACCAGCCACCTATAATCTTTTTTTTTTTTTTTTCCGTGAGACAGTCTTACTCTGCCACCCAGGCTGGAATGAAGTGATGTGATTTTGGCTCACTGCAACCTCCACCTCCTGGGTTCAAGTGATTCTCCTCCCTCAGTCTCCTGACTAGCTGAGATTACAGGCATGGGTCACCATGCCTGGCTAATTTTTTTATGTATTTAGTACAGACGGGTTTCACCATATTGGCCAGGCTGGTCTCAAACTCCTGACCTCAGGCGATCCACCCGCCTCGTTCTCCTAAAGTGCTGGGATTATAGGCTTGAGTCACCGTGCCTGGCCTAGGTACCTATACTCTTAAAGAAAACTCTAATGTTGTTTTGCTCCCCTGCCTGCACTGAGTTACAAAAGAAAGGATGTGTGGCTGAATTAGTTTTTAAAAGTCAAATATATAAGGATTTTTGTTTAGGACTAACAAGATAGGAAAAATGGAGGAATGAACCAAATAAGAAGGGAAATTTTAAGTTCATTACTACAGAACTTGATGCATGCATAAAACACCAAAAAGGTTTGCATTTGTTGCTCAGCAGATGTTTTAGAAGGATGAAGCATAATTGACTGGGATGTAAAGTTAATTAGTTGCAGAATATTTTGTTGCCCTGGGCTCATTCCTGTAATACCGGTGCACCGCAATTTGCCTCTGCACATATGTGAATTCATTTTGGGGGAGAGAGAAGTTTCCTTCACAGTTCCCTGCCCAACCTATTATTAGAGACCTGAACCTTGCAATCCAAGTTGTCCTAGTACATGTTGTAAATTAAAATTAAATACATCACTAGTTAAATGGATAAAAGAGAGACAGAGTCATTTCTAACCTGGACTTTTCAATCTGCTCTTTGCCTATCACAGTCCTTTCTCCTGTTTTCATTAATTTCCCAAGAGGAAAAACAATTCAGCATTCTGTATAAAATGAGATGAGGAAGTCAGCATAACAGTGTCCCTAAACAGCGTTTTCTGCCTCAGGATGAGAATATTTAACTGCATTAAGGTAAAATACAGCCCTGGCAGCAAAGTCAAGATATTTATACACATGCTGAGAGCATCTCCTTTGCTCTCAGGTAGTGCCAAGGTCTCAGGATGGGCTGTGGTCTCTCCTTGCTTTCCACGGCAGCTGTCGTGAGGCACAGCTGAACACAATCAGAGAAAGGAGAGTGATCCAGAATATTGAAAATCATTTTTTTAGATAGGGTTGTCATAACCTTGAATCTCCATGATTTTGCTCTCCTGGTTTCATTTATTGCATTGGCAACTTCATATGCCTTAAGTCTAACAAAGGACATTTATCCTAAGTTACATCAATTCATTGCTTTATGGTTTTACTTTAATAGGCATGAAATTGTGAAATTAAGATGCAAAGCCTTCCTCAATATAACTGTTAGACACCTTTTAGTACATGAGTTGGTTGCTGTTTGAGTTTTTTATTCTACTGAACACCACTATAGTTATTAATTTTTGTGATGTGTGAGACATATTAAAGCCATATATTACGTACTTGTTTGTAATCTCTCCTTCAAAAGTATGATTTTGCAGGTTTATTGAACTGAAAGCAACTATTTGTCATAAACAGGATAGAAACATTACCTCAGCTACTGCTCAGAGGCAGGGGAAGAAAGGCAACATCAGTAACTATTAATACAAACATATTATAGGAAGCTTTGTTTACTTAATTAACAGGAATATGCCTTGTGTTGCTATTTCCATGTGTAGGTAAAAACTTCATTAAGGTTGTTTTACTGGATAAGGAAAAACCCAATCTTATTACTGCTTTTCCTGTCCCTCTGTTAGCCTCCCTAATTGTCTAATTGCTGATTCTAATCTGCTGTGAACTGGGAAATTATACAATTGGCCTTGTTAGAAGTTTGTCTAAAATTTAACAAGCTTTCTATGAGACATCAAGGGAGAGTCTTTTATAAGTAAAGTACGTGCCCTTTAAAGGTATATTTTAGCTGCTTGTTTTTGTTTGCCATTTTGCTTCTTTTACATTTCTCTCCATTTTTAAATTACAAAAATATACGGTTCTGTTTTCTCAAGATGACAGCAACCATATCTTCCATCCCACATTCTTTCCCACTGCTGAACTTGACCCACCCCATTAAGAGCTGCAGTCTTGTTTTGCTCCCCTTGGATCTGGATCGCTTTAGTGACTATTGTAACAAATAGAATGCTGCCTAAGTAATGCTGTGTGACTTGCAGGTCTAGGTCAGAGAAGAACTTGGCTGTCTTGGACCACCATACTCCCTTGACTTATTGCTCTCTCTTGGAACACAGCCACCACAGTGTGAGAAAGCCAAGCCATCCAGGGAGGCCTCATGGAGAGTCTTCAACCCACTGATCTCAGCCTTTGAGCCACCTCAGTCCAAGATTCAGAGATGTGAGTGAAGGAGACTCCAGATGATTTCAGGGCCTAGTCATGTGAGTCATACCCAGATATTCAAGTCTTCCAGGCTGTGGCTCTAGGCATCATGAGCAAAGACAAGCCATCTTTCTGTATCATGTCTAATTCCTGACCTACAGATTCCATGAGCATAATAAAATGATGCTCATTATATGCCACTAGGTTTGGGATGGTTTGTCATGTAACAATAAATAGCTAGAACACTATACATGATTATATTTGGTTATAGATAATTTAATAAATACAGAATAAAACATGAATATACTCATTTCCCAATTTTGCCCTAAATATTGCATTTCATTTCTAACCTGTAAATTACTTGGAAGAAGAGACAGTATCTTTTTCACCTCTGAATCTAAATTTCGAGGATACTTTCTGCATGTAAAAAATTTACTTAATCAAACTTATACAGGGAAACCTCACGAAAAGAAGAATTTGCCATAATATAAAATATACTTTATAAAATAAAGTATTTCTGGTATTTAAAAGAGAAACACTATATGAGTAATGAGGATACTACTTTGATTGCTTGTAGATAGCTTTTGATGTATGCATTCATAGTTAGTATTAATGATGTTACATACACACCTACCAGTGATAATTTATGACGGCAAATAATGGAAATGAAATCAAGCATGACAATAGACTCACGTTAGTGCTTCAGAGTAATTATAATGAGGTGTAACTCCCAGAAACTTCTGGACTTCATCCATCACAGTAGCTGGGTCAGATCTCAGCTGCTGTCCATCAATAATTAGCAACTGTAAAGTCAAAAATAGTCTACTTTATGAAGAACAAAATTAAATTGAATAGACTGTGTGGTCTTCCTTTACCTGGTGTGTCATTCATAAATTAGGTCAGTGTGAATAGGAAGCAAATATGCCCTCCTTAGAATACATTTGAATGTATATTATTCCTGCATCCTTTCACATAAACAATGAAGTCTGCCATAGGCATCATTTCTTGTGAATTATGAAGTTATAGCTCCAACATGCTTTTTGTAAATCAGAAGTAAACATAGACACTTTCTTGATTTAGTACTTCAGTAGAAACATGATTTTCCATTTGTTGTGTAATCAGATAATTATCCAGCCTACCAAATTTCTATTAGCTGACCCTGGAGCTTAGGGCTCAGAAACAGTGGTCATCCAAATGAAAATTATCTGTCTAATTTTTTTTTTAAAGACAGAGGGAGGAGGGAAATGTTTGTCCCTCCCTTACTGATCATTGTATCACTGCCGTGTAATATCATAATTGTTGAAGGAATACTGGAATAAAGGTCAATGGTGAGGCCCACCTGCTAGGGCTTCAATTTGCCCTGACCTGGAAGACAGAGTAGAAGAGATATGTTTTGTTGTTGTTGTTGTTGTTGTTGTTGTTTTGCCAAGTTTTGGTATCAGGATGATGCTGGCCTTATTACATGAGTTAGGGAGGAGTCCCATTTTTTCTATTGTTTGGAATAGTTTCACAGTGTGGCGATTCCTCAAGGATCTAGAACTAGAAATACCATTTGACCCAGCTATCCCATTACTTGGTATATATCCAAACTATTTTCTTAGAATAGTTTCAGAAGGAATGGTACCGTCTCCTGTTTGCACCTCTGGTAGAATTCAGCTATGTGGTCTAATCCTGAGTTTTGGTTTTTGGTTGGTAGGCTATTAATTACTGACTCAATTTTATAACTTGTTATTGGTCTATTCAGGGATTTGACTTCTTCCTTGTTTAGACTTGGAAGGGTGTATGTGTCCAGGAATTTATCCATTTCTTCTAGATTTTCTAGTTTATTTGCACAGAGGTGTTTATAGTACTCGTTGATGGTAGTTTGTATTTCTGTGGGATCAGTGGTGATATCCCCTTTATCATCTTTTTTTTTTATTGTGTCTATTTGATTCTTCTGTCTTTTCTTCATTAGTCTAGCTAGTGGTCCATCTATTTTCTTAATCTTTTCAGAATCCAACTCCTGTATTTGTTGATTTTTTTGAAGGGTTTTTCGTGTCTCTGTCTCCTTCAGTTCTCATCTGGTCTTATTTATTTCTTGTCTTCGGCTAGCTTTTGAATTTGTTTGCTCTTGCTTTTCTAGTTATTTTAACTGTGATATTAAGGTGTTGATTTTAGATCCTTCCAGTTTTCTGTTGTTGGCATTTAGTGCTATAAATTTCTGTCTTAACACTGCTTTACCTGTGTCCCAGAGATATGGTATGTTGTCTCTTTGCTCTCTCATTAGTTAAAAAAAAATTTCTTTTTGTATGCCTTAATTTTACTATTTACCCAGTAGTCATCCAGGAGCAGGTTGTTCAATTTCCATGTAGTTGTGCAGTTTTGAGTGAGTTTCTTTTTTTTTTTTTTTTTTTTTTTTTTTAATTTTTTACTTTAATTTTTAAAGTAAAAAAATCATTTGCTAAGGTAAAAAATTACAGTTGTTAAGAACAAGGATTCTCAAGGTTTGGGGACTGGTGGGAAATAGGCGAAGGTGACATAAATACATGTTCTGACATGAATATAAATATTTTTCCAAATAAATGTGTGAGCAATGATACCATAAGTAGCCTGGGTTCCACGGAACAAATCTTGAAAAATGATGCAGAGATATGCTGTTAGGTTCCACGCTGATCTAAGAAGTGTATCATCAGATACATGCCAGCCAGCTTTTCATATGCCATTGTTGCTATGGAAGTTCAAAGTCTCAGAATTCTATTAGAGGCCTACAGTGCATAACTGTCCAAGGCTAGGTGGTATCCAAGGCTGGGGAAAATACACAGATGACATTATCAAGTAAGGTTGTAGTTAAACTTGCGATGGTGATATCATTTACCATAATGTGGCCATTGCCCTACCGTATAAGCCATATACAGGTCCATATGCAGGAATACAAAATTATGAGCAAATACAAAATTATCAAATATAATGATATTAAATTAATCAAATGTAACTACATATTTGTTAATCAAATGTAACTATGTATTTACAGAAAGCATACGATATTTACACCAAACCGGCTTATTAAATACTACGAATAGGCTAGCATGAGGTCAGGTCAGGTTCAGATGCAGAATGAGTTAAGAAAAAGCTTCCATTTTGATTATTTGCTAATTTTGTATTTGCTCATAATTTTGAGTGAGTTTCTTAATCCTGAGTCCTCATTTGATTGCATTGTGGTTTCAGAGACTGTTACGATTTCTGTTCTTTTGCATTGCTGAGTAATGTTTTACTTCCAATTATGTGGTTGATTTTAGAATATATGCTATGTGGTGTTGAGAGGAATGTATATTCTGTTGATCTGGAGTGTAGAGTTCTGTAGTTGTCTATTAGGTCCACTTGGTCCAGAGCTGAGTTTAAGTCCTGAATATCCTTCTTAATTTTCTGTCTCACTGTTCTGTCTGACATTGACATTGAGGTGTTAAAGTCTCTCATTGTTAGTGTGTGGGAGCTGAAGTCTGTTTGTATGTCTCTAAGCATTTGTTTTATGAATCTCAGTGATCCTGTATTGGATGCATGTATATTTAGCATACTTAGCTCTTCTTGTTGCATGATTCCTTTACCATTATGTAATGCACTTCTTGGTCTGTTTTGATCTTTATGGGTTTAAAGTCTGTTTTATAAGAGACTAAAATTGCAACCCCTGCTTTCTTTTTGCTTTCCATTTGCTTGGTAAATATTTCTCTATTCTTTTATTTTGAGCCTATGTGTGTCTTTGCACATGAGATGGTTCTCTTGAATACAGCACAACAGTAAGTCTTGACTCTTTATCCAATTTGCCAATCTGTGTCTTTTCATTGGGGCATTTAGCCCATTTCCATTTTAATTTAATATAGTAATGTGTGAATTTGATTCTGTTATGATGCTAGCTGGTTATTTGGCACATTAGTTAATGTAATTACCTCACAGTGTCATTGGTCTTTATATTTTGGTGTGTTTTGCAGGACTGGTGCCAGGTTTTTCTTTCCATATCTAGTGCTTCCTTCAGGAGCTCTTGTAAGGCAGCCCTGGTGGTGAAAAATCCCTCAGCATTTGCTTGTCTAGAAAGAGTTTTATTTCTTCTTTGTTTGTAAAGCTAAGTGTGGCTGGATATGAAATTCTTTTGTTTTGTTTGAAAATGTTTTTTCTTTAAGGATGTTGGATATTGACCCCCACTCTCTTCTGGCTTGCAGGGTTTCTGCAGAGAGCTCTGCTGTTGGTCTGATGGGCTTCCCTTTGTGGTAATCTGACCTTTCTCTCTGGCTGCCCTTACCATGTTTCTCCCTTCATTTTAACCTGGAAAATCTGACAATTATGTGTCTTGGGGTTGCTCTTCTCAAGGAGTATCTTAGTGGTGTGCTCTTTATTTCCTGAATTTAAATGTTGCTCTGTCTTGCTAGGTTGGGGAAGTTTTCCTGGATAGTATACTGAAGTGTGTTTTCTAACTTGGTTCCATTCTCCCTGTCACTTTCAAGTACACCAATCAATCATAGCTTTGGTCTTTTTACATAGTCCCATATTTCTTGGAGGCTTTGTTTGTTCCTTTGTATTCTTTGTGATCTTCAATCTCTAATATCCTTTCTTCTGCTTGATTAATTTGGCTATTGATACTTGTGTGTGCTTCACATAGTTCTCATACTGTGTTTTTCAGTTCTGTCAGGCCATTTGTGTTCCTCTCTAAACTGGTTATTAGAGTTAGCAGTTCCTGTAACCTTTATCAAGGTTCTTAGCATCCTTGCATTGGGTTACAACATGTTCCTTTAGCTCAGAGGAGGTTATTACCCGCCTTCTGAAGCCTAATTCTGTCAATTCATTAATCTCATTCTCTGTCCAGTTTTGTGCCTTGCTGGAGAAGAGTTGCAATATTTTGGAGGAGAAGAGGCATTCTAGTTTTTGGAATATTTTCAACATTTTTTTTTTCACTTTTTTCTTCATCTTTATGGATTTATCTACCTTTGATCTTTGAGGCTGATAACCTTTAGATGGGGTTTTTGTGTGCGGTCCTTTATGTTGATGTTGATGTTTCATATGGAACCACAAAAGAGCACTCATAGCCAAGACAATCCTAAGCAAAAAGAACAAAGCTGGAGGCATCACAGTACCTGACTTCAAACTATGATACAAGGCTCCAGTAACAAAAACAGCATGGTACTAGAAAACAAAAAACCAAAAAACAAAAAACACAAATATATAACCAATGGAATGAATCAGAGGCCTCAGAAATAACACTACACATCTACAACCCTCTGATCTTTAACAAACCTGACAAAAACAAGCAACGGGGAAGGATTCCCTATTTAATAAAATGGTGCTGAGAAAACTGGCTAGCCATATGCAGAAAACAGAAACTGGACCCCTTCCTTATGCCTTATCAAAAAATTAACTCAAGATGGATTAAAGATTTAAATATAAAACTTAAAACCATACAAATCCTAGAATAATATCCTGGCAATACCAGTCAGGACATAGGCATGGACAAAGTCTTTATTACTAAAACACCAAAAGCAATGACAACAAAAGCCAAAATTGACAAATAGGATCTAACTAAAGAGCTTCTGCACAGCAAAAGAAACTATTATCATAGAGAACAAACAACCTATAGAATGGGAGAAAATTTTTGCAATCTAGCCATCTGACAAAGGTCTACTATCCAGAATCTGCAATCAACTTCAACAAATTTACAAGAAAAAAACAAAGAACCCTGTCAAAAAGTGGGTGAAAGATATGAACAGACATTTCTCGAAAGAAGACATTTATGTGGCCAAAAAACATGTGAAGAAAAGCTCATCATCACTGGTCATTAGAAAATGCACATCAAAACTACGATGAGATACTATCTCACACCAGTTAGAATGGCAATTATTAAAAAGTCAGGAAACAACAGATGCTGGAGAGGATGTGGAGAAATAGGAACACTTTTATACTGTTGGTGGGAGTGTAAATTAGTTCAACCATTGTAGAAGATAGTGTGGCGATTCTTCAAGGATCTAAAACCAGAAATATCATTTGACCCAGCTATCCCATTACTTGGTATATATCCAAAGGATTATAAATCATTCTACTATAAAGACACATGCACATGTATATTTATTGTAGCACTATTCACAATAGTAAAGACTTAGAACCAAGCCACATGCCTATCAGTGATACACTGGATAAAGAAAATGTGGCACATATATACCATGGAATACTATGCAGCCATAAAAAAGCATGAGTTCATGTCCTTTGCAGGGACATGGATGAAGCAGGAAGCCCTCATTTTCAGCTAACTAACACAGGAACAGAAAACCAAACACAGCATACTCTCACTCAAAAGTGGGAGTTGAATAATAAAAACATACAGGCACAGGGAGGGGAACATCACACACCAGGGACTGTCAGGGTGGGGAGCAAGGGGAGGGATAGCATTAGGAGAAATACCTAATGTAGATGACAGGTCGATGGGTGCAGCAAACCACCATGGCACATGTATACCTATGTAACTAACCTGCGTGTTCTGCACATATATCACAGAACTTAATGTATAATAGTAACAAAAGACCCATTTAAGAAAAAGATATGGATGCCTTTTTAAAATCCTTATTTCCTTGTCTAGCTCATGTTCCTGTAGCTATTATAACACTCCCCATTTGGCAGTCTAGTGTATGACCTTCTTTTCTTATAAGGGCCACACGGAGCAAACAACATGTAGGCATCTGCATGTGGTGTTCCATAAAGCTGTTGTCTAGCTGGCTGATGTACTGGTAATTTAGAGTTGTTGCCTGTAAGTCACATGATGTCTCATGTGTGAGAATTTATCACTTTGAGACTAGCTACTGTTCAAAAGGAGATTGCAAAAATGTGATTTAGAGAATTTATCATTTTAATAGTATTAATAAAATTAAACATGTAAAATGTACATCTTTTTCCTTACTTACCATTGTCTCTGACTATTAATCACCATCTGTGGCAATGTTCATTCACATTTTCTGCTTATCAGTGCAATACAATCATGATATAATAAACAGAAGAAAGTAATTTCAGGACATTACCTGAGAAGTAGCAAAGTAAGTTAGCCATCTTTCTATGTGGACTGCATACCATCCAGGTACTAGGCATCTTCTCTGCAAAGTTTTTAAGTCAGATGGGGCCCAATGTCCTGTTGTGATAACTTCATAGAAATTGAACCTCAGGGCAGCTGGATCTTCATGTGATCGTTGGTGCTTTAACGAGAAAGTCAATTGTAAAGTTGGATTTATTTTTAATGCCTGTGTAGATATGCATATGTGTATGGGTGGGCATGTGCATGTGTGTGTTTGGGGTGTGTGTGTGTGTGTGTGTGTGTGTGTGTCCTTCATGCAACAAAATAATGAAAAATTGAATACTTAATTTTAGAATGAAAATGAATGAAAAGAAATAGTATGAAAACTGCATATATTGGAAGAAGCATTGACACACTGCTTATTTGAAAGTACATTAAATTACAAGCCTTCACTATATGTCAAGTGGTGTGCACATAAATTTGTGGTTATATTTGTGTCTAAAGTGGTTAGGTGCAAAGCAGAGATAGCATGCAAGGATTCTCTTCATGGATATTATTAAGAATGAGAAGATGTCAGAGACCAGACAAATCAAGCCTGATGAAAAAATTAGATTTTGTAAAAATAGTCTATTTAAGAATAGTCTTACATGTTTCTTGGGCTATTGTTTCATTACAGCCATTCCTTCAGGTTCTAACATTTCCCCAATATCCCTGTGTAGCAGGTGCTAGTGTTTTTTCTCATGCTTGTTTAGATGTCATATTCATATTGACGTCACCCAAGGTCCTTTCTGTTTGGTCTCACATGGGTTTCTACTTAATCCTGCTAATTCACAAATACTGCTTCACTTCTACTTTTCAGTGTCAAATCCTCTGTGTCACACCAAACCATCATTGGTCAACCAGGAGAGAGCCTAGCTCAGTGAGAGATAAATCTAACAGTCAATATAATTTAACAAGCATTTTGTAAGCTTCTTACTATAACAAAGATCTGAGATAGATCCTAGAGATAAAAAGATAAAAGAAATAATCACTCTCTTCAAAGAAATCGGATCTTGTGTGGAAGACAATAGATGGAATAAAGTTGTTTACTTGACTGCAGGTAGAAGTTACTTGCTGTGACAGCCAGACCAGTAAGTGAGTAATTGTGACTGCCGAATGAAATGACTTTTCAGTGGCTGAAGCTTTTTAGCTAAAGTGTAATGAGAAAGATTGTGTAATCAGAAAAAAATACCAAACACATATGAAAACTAAGAGGAATTTATCATCTAAGGTAAGTTAAGTGAAGGTTGATAAAGTGTGCAGGAATAAATGTTGAGAGAATTCTAAAAGTGAATTTGAAAAAGTTCTAGTGTAGGGTAATGGTGGAAGTATGTTGGTCCCTGCTATGACTGTGTAATGGCTAGCCTTATGTGTGAGTGATGGGTCTTATAAGTGAGTTAGAAATAAAAATAACTAGAAAAGTAAAGATGATTAGGAAATGGTGAAAAAATAAATTTTTATTTATCTAGAAATAAAAATAACTAGAAAAGTAAAGATGATTAGGAATTTAAATGGTTAAAGAATAATTAGTAAGTGGCATACACTTTGAAGTCTTCTCATTGTTGTGTATTTATTGATGTTTTTACATATATACCATATATATATATACCAATCGAGTATAGATTATATAATTTGTTTAATTAACCAAATGTGTAGAAATTATGTAATTTCAATAAAGAATGAGAAACACACTATATACATATTTAATACAGTAATGCAAACATTTTTTTTGAAGCAGTGATAATATGAAACTGTGCTTAATCTGTTCCATATTGACTTCTTCCAGTTTGGCACCAACTTTTCTTTGTATTCCTGCAACTAAGTAGATTAGCATAAAAATATGGTCATGAAGTCGCACAGGGACATATTTTATGGAAAAATAGCACTATCGCTCCTCTGTGAGGTCCATTATAAAAATGTGGGGTAGAAATTACAGTGGCAGATGACATTTGTAAGAGTTTCTGAATTATACCTGCTGAGCTTTGAATTTATGGTATTTACTGAATAGACAGGACTAGCTAAGTAATAGGCTACATTATTTTGAAATGTGGAGCAGTGTGGGGCCATACTCACTGCAATACAGCAATAAAAAGTATTATCAGAAAAAATAATTCCTTTAAAACCTCTATATATTTTCAAAGAATTTATTTGAAAAAAGCAAGCACAGAGAGGCACACACATCATAAAGATTCTGTTTTATTGAACTGGTTTAATCTATGTGAAAAAGAAAAGATTCACTTAAATCTGCTCTAAGTAGTGACCATGCTTTCTGCTAGGGAAATGCTCAACATTTTCCTCAAATGTTGGAATTCGAAACTATAAGCCTTCACATTTTAATGCTTTTGGTATACTTAAAAAACACATTTATCTTGCTTTGCAATGAGTGTTCACAAAGTGAGAAGGACATAACTCTTACATCTTGTGGGAAATACTGACTCATGGATTAGACAGATTCAGATGGTAGTTTATAAATTTTGCTTCCAATCTAAGTGTTTCTTTTGGATCCCGACTACCTGCCTTCCTGTTTGCAATGTCACATTTTTCTGTACATCAGTATTTGTTTTCAATAATACTGAAAAAAATGTATTTTTAATAAAAAAATGTTTTCTTTAATAAAAAATACATTTTTCATTAAGGAAATTTTGAAAAATCAAGAAAAAGAAGGAAAAATGAAAATACTTATTATCCTACTATACTCTTTGAAAATTTCCCTTTAGTGTTCTTTACTTTGGTATTAATTTGTATGTGCACTAAATTTGTACATATACAAAATGCACGTGTATCATTGGGATTTTAGTATATACACACTGTTACCACAGTACCTTCAAGATTACCAACTTCAATTAGGCCATCACCGTTGTAGGCAAATTTACATTTGTTGACAGCTTTATCCCACCACTGTACAATGATTTCATATCCTCATTCTTCTTCTGTTTTCAAACTGCTGTGTCCTCAAAACTATCACCCTTTTTTCATCAATTAACTCATTCCAGGTTTCTCAAAGGAAGGAGAGACCACCATATTCACTTAAATTTTTGTATCTCAGGATTTTGAATTTACCAGCATCTATGTCCATCCCCTCTTCTATTCTTTAAGTTTCAATCCAGGGATTCTGGGTTGATAGAATACAGTTTGTCTATGAACTTGGATAAGCAAAGGAAAAAAAAATTACTCTTTGTTTTCAGCATTTTCTGAATGAAATTCAGCATGTTATTAATTGTGAATGTATAAAACAGCCACAGTATTTTTTGCACTGTGGTTGTGATTTTACCACCAATAAAAATCAGTTATTTTATATCTCATTACTCATGATAAAACACCAGCTATATCTAAAGATGAATCAAAATGTTGCTTAAGGTCAGAGCTATTTCAAAGTTATTATAGTACTAGACTCATCATTAGAACTTATCAATTAATGATTTAATCTTAAAAAATGTGTTAATGATCGAAAAAGTATTTCACATTTCAACTTGGCAGTTTATTTTGTATATATATTTAGCTTTATGCTTTTAAAATATATATTTGACATGTTCATAGTACTCAACAGACAGCTAGTGGAATCCCAGCACAAGAAGAGTTAAGAGGCGTCAGGGCTTCCCCGGGCCTGCTATCTAAGCCGTTTGCTATAGCATGCTTTCTTGTATCTTCACAGAATTAGTCACCTGTTTTCTCTCCTGGGCCTTTAACCTCTCTTCTTCTTTGGAAATCACTTATCATAATTCAAATCAGCACTACTACAGATAATATTTTCTCAATTCCACTTCTACTTCTTTGTCATAAAACTGTGTCCTGTTTTACTCCTTCGAGATCACGCTTTGGAGTGTTTTGCAAGGGCTGCCTCTATTTCTTCACCCCTAATTACTTATTCATTCACCAAAATCCATCTGGCTTTGCTCTTTTTACTCTGTTGCTAAGGGCTCTATCTCCCTCCACATCTTTTCCTTTGGCTTTGCCTGTTTGATTTTTCAGCAGCTTTTTGGAATGGTTGTCACCCTCCATCTGGCACCATTCCCTTCCCTTAGATTCAGTGTCACTACACTCCTGAATTTTTTTCTTCTATTTTGGCTATATTTTCTTATCTCTCTTGGCATCCTGCTCTGCACTTTTCATCTCTAAACTCTCTGCTTAGGCGATTTCACCTTTTACATGGCCATGGCTTCACACCTCTGATTCACAAATATCTGTCTCTAGCTCAGACCTCTCCCCAGAGGGTCAGCTGACTTTACCGTTCTTTTGATAATGAAGGATTTCACTCATCATGATCATAATCTACACTTTTTCTGTCCTGAGCCTCCCCCCACCCCACCACCTCCTATAACCTGCAGCGATTCTTTTTTCTTGGGAATGTATGGCCATCATCTAAGTGTCCAGATACATAGTATCCTAGATACTATGTCCTCTTCAAATTCTGTTGATTTTAATCTCTAAATATATCTGAATACTTATTCTTCATTCAATTTTTACTTACCATTTTTGTCTACAGTGCTTTTATATCTCAGCAAGTCTATTGCAATAGCCTCAAATTTGATTTCTCCAAAGAGTCATTTGTCCTATTCCAATTTCTTCAAATAGCAGATAATTTGATGTTCTTTAAAAGAAAATCTGATAATCACACACTGGCTACCATTTTTCAAAGGCTTTCAGTTGCTCAGAAAAATGGCGGCAGCCAGATGGCCTATCCCTAGTGTGCCTCTTCGCATCGTTTCCTATAGGTCTCTACCTAGGAGTTTTCCACCAGCCACATTGAATTTTTTTTTAAACATTTTTAATGTGATCTGATTCTTTATATCCAATGTGTTTCACGTATACTATGTCCTCTAATCCACCTTCCTTCTACTTGCACTCAGTTAATATCTACTCATCGTTTAGTTTTAAGTCTTAAGTTTATTTTCATGCAGAATGTTTTCGGAGCACCTTTACATGCTTCTTCACAGTACATTCACAATGTTTAATTACATTTATTTATGATTAATTAATATCTACACATTAATACATTTTAAATCACAAATTTTATTAATTAAAATCATAGTTAAATGATGCTTCAGAATATTCCATTTTAATATGACACAAATCTATAGTGTTGGGCACTTTACTTTTATTATTATGTTTGTAGATAGTGCTGCAATGTTCCGAAATATTTGTCCATCTTTTTGAAGTTTCCCTTATCATCAACTCCAGAAGAGGAATCACATCACCAAAATATCCTTACATCCTTTTTGGTAACTATTGCCAAATGAGTTTTCAGAAAAATCCCAGCGTACCTTCTATTGGAACACTTGAGAACCCTTGTAATCACTTTCTTAACAGCATGGAAAAACATCACAATTGTGGTCAAGATATTAAAAAAGAATGGATTGGGCTTAGTGACTCATGCCTGTAGTCTCAGTATTTTGGGAGGCTGAGGTTGGTGGATTGCTTGAGCCCAGGAGTTCAAGACCAACCTAGGCAACATGGTGAAACCACATCTCTACAAAAAATATAAAAAAGTGAAAAAATAGGTGAGTGTGGTAATGTGTACCTGTAGTCTCAACTTCTTTGGAGGCTGAGGTAGGAGAATCACTTCAGCCCAGGAGGAAGAGGCAGAATAAGACTTGGTCTTCAATTGGGTTGATCATTTTTCACATAAATTGTTGGACAGTTGTTTTTGTATGTGATTGTTTACCTGTACCTTTTGTCCATTTTGCTTATTTTTCTACTTTGATACTTTATTTATTTATTAAATTTGAAGAAACTTTTACAAAATAAAGGCTCTAAGCCATTTACCATGTATTTGTTAAAGGTTCTCTAGATACTGACTTTTAATTTGTTAATTTTTGATAAACCAACACAGTTTAGAAAATTTATTAATTATTTGATGTGTAATTTTAAAAATAATTATTTTATACTTGAAAGTCCTTGGCCAACATGGTATGAATTAAATATTCAGCTACTATTTCTCATATATTTTGGTGGGGGGTTGGGGTTTAGATATTCTTACATTTGACTTTTCATGTGTCTGGGTTGTATTATGGTTGTCATTGCCTCCATTTAAGCTATAACAAAATGCTTTTAGCAGATTTTTTGACTGACCATACCTGGTACCAAGAGTACGCCCTGTCTGAGGGGTCAATGAGGATGGTGATGATCTTGGCTTTGGGAACGAGAGATGCAGCTCGCTTGGGAGCTTCTTCTGAATGGAAGTAATTAGCACTCTTTTCAAACAGAAAGTCACTCGTGGTATTGGATGGTGTAGGAAAAAAGTCCATATACCTGAAGGCAGAGAAAGACAATTAATTAATCTGAAAATATTTTTCTTGCCATACTCTGAATGTGAAATAATTGGAATATTTTAATATTCATTTATCATTATTTCTGATTATTGTGCTGTTACAGTTTAAATAATAGATACTCTCTACACATTGAATGTGAATTTTATACACAACCTAAAATATTCCTGTTCTAAGGACTCATTTTGGGCAGGGGAAGGAGTGAGATGAAAGGTAGGCCAGTAAGGGACAAAGGAAAAATATTATAAATTTGGGCTGATGTTCTGTGCTATAAAAAGTCAACTCCAGAAATACTGTTTGCCCTTGGCAAACAGTAAATCACACTGTACTGTTTAGTTGACATTAAAAAATAGTAAATGTATGTTTTCAAATTTGAATGCAGAAATTCTTCAGTGAGATTAAAGTTCACAAGACAGAAAGATGTGTAAATCTGAATAGCTATAAAACACCAACAATTTTAGGACATGGTTGTCCTCTTCCTTCTTAATTTCTGCATAATTTGTAGTATATTTAGCAATGTGAACACATTATAGTCTATCTAGAGAAATTAAGGGGATATTTCCTGCCAGTTGATCTTGTGGTGCCTCAGCAGGTTCACTCCTCCATATGCTGTCAGAACATTCCTGTGTGTGTGGATTATGGAATCAATATGTTCTGAGGTTAATTCAGTGCAAGTCTTTAATTATGTGTGTAACCCTCCTTACAGCTCATCACTTCTCTCACCCTCAAATGTTCTATAAATAAATGAGAGCAATTAAGAATTCATATAAGACACTTATTTTCCTCTTTGACATTTGTTATGTTTCCCAAATGTGGAGTGGTGAAGAGTCTCATCTATATTCCCGCTAAACAATTTGTGTTCCATTTGTGCTCACAGATCAGAGAAAATTGCCCTTCTGCTTTTAATAACCTGCAAGCAATTCCAAAGGTTATTTAGCTTTTTAAAAGTAAGTCAAGATATAATGTCCTAGATGCAGAATCGACACATCTCTAACCACAATAGGAACCCTGATCTGCTCACTGATATTGCACCTGCTCACTCCTGATTATAGCCAATTCTTAAAAAAAAAAAAAGTGTCTTTCATTGCAAACAGGTTCATTCATGATGATGACACACAGACTTCCATGCTGCAGATGTGTGCATTCAGGGAAATTTTCCTCAGGTGAGATTCGCTTTATATACTCTGTGAAGTAGAAATTAAATTCACGACCCTATTTTCTTGAAAATTGGAATGGAGCTAGAAAAGATCACCAAAGTAAAAATTATTTCCAGTATCAGGTTTATTCTATTTTGGTTTAGGGGATATATTGTGATTTTATTTTTTTGGTAATTTATCATGTGTTAATTAACATTTCTTTTATGTATGTATGTGACTAGAATTTGATATGCTTTTGAAAATGTGCTGTTATTATTTGCATGACAAATATTAGCCTATATTATAATAAAATTCATACTTTATGTGGTTAATGAAGACACATGTCATGAACTATAAAACAATGTAATGATTTATTTGTTCCCTCAAATGTTGTGAAGACAAATTATGTGTTCAGAAAAAAAAAATAGGCAGTTTAATAATACTATACTTAAAGAAAATTTTAAATACCTTTATAAATAATTCTGATGAAATACATGCCATAATGTTCTTTATTCAATCATATTAATTTAGCAGAAAAATATTATCATTATTGCACTGTCCAAATCACATTATAGGCAACACTGATTAAACATATCAACATTATAAATTAATTTTTTTTTTTTATAAATTAATTTCTAATTCACTGTGGGTAGAATTGAGCATAACAAATTTATCCTGTAATTATGCAGATGCCACACATACATCTATAATTGCTCTGCAGTGATTGGGCATATATTAATAACGGAATTTATTTTTTGTTATTTTTTCTTACCAGTCTATTCCCTTGTGATAGTTGTTGCCATTAAAGAACTGAACTTCTTCAAATGTCTTTGGACTAGGGAGATTGCTGATGATTGAAGGATGCATAAGAAGAAATAAATAAAGTGCAGTTGTTCCTATTACAAAAAAGAAGGTAAAAGGTTATGTGATAATAAGAAACAAAATATTATTTTAGCTTTTTTTTTTTGCTGAAAAAGTAATGTTAAAATAATCAACCATTTCCAGTATCAGTATTATTTTTTAAAAATCAATCAGGTACAATCCATGCACTACAATCCCAGTGTTCTATTATTAGTCTTCATGATTCTATTTATCAAAATGCCTGATTTAATATTAGCAAATAGCCAAAGTAAAGCAGATTGATGATGTGACTAGTGTGGCACTGCAGAAGTCATGCAGCTCAGCTTTCCTGCTGGAGTCAGGTCAATGGCTAGAGCATGAAGGGCATGGGTTTCTCTATCTCCATCTTTATCATCAGTCACAGAAACTGAACTGGTGGGTCTTCAATTAGCATTGACATTCAGATGAATGAAATCAAACTATTCAAAGGGGTTGATATGCTACTCTGTATATGGCCCGGAAGTAACTCTTGATTAAGAAAACACGTTTGCTGCCCTCAATGAACTTAAAGTCCATGTATGAACTTGGAACAAGTACAAAAGTAATTGTGACGTAGTGTGACAGGTGCAACAATGAGAGAAGACCAGAATATCTTTCCAACATATGAGAAAACGGGTGATTTAGATGGGAAATCAGTGAGACAGATTCCAGAGGGATGTACATTCTAACGCTGTTCCTTAAAAACATAAGTGTTACACAGCAAGTTTGAAAGAAGAGGGCAGGACTCTAGAAAGTTGGCTGCTTCAATGACTTCCCTGGCAAAATGTGACAATCAAGCCTGATAATTGGAGCACTAGAGAGAACAGGCGAGCTGTGAGAACTCACCTGTGTGCACATTGCAGAAGTCTCAAATGTAATCTTTGAATCTTATTTCCTTCAGAATTAGGCCAGAGACTGGCAGCCATAGCAGAAAGAACTCATGAAGTGACTGGGTCATCATAACTCTCATAAATCAAGACTTTTCTTCTTGAAAGGTAAACTGTTCTGTGATACATTGGAAGATGTAGCATTTGTTAGGTGTCCTAGACCTAGCAGAGCTGCAGACAAGCTATGTGTGAGTGCTGACAGAACAATTGTCATTGCAACTGGGATCAGAAGTAGAGAAGACCAGTGGATAATTGATATTTTGTTCACATATACCCTAAGATCATATGAGCAAAGGCTACCACACTTCAAATATTAATGAAATTGCCACCTTTTTAGATTCTCACAGCTTTATGTTACCTCTTGCCACCAAGAGGTAATGAGTAGCTAAAGGAAAGAACATAACAACAGATCCATGGGGACCAGCCACCCTTGGATGGAAGACACATTAAAACACCTAGAATGAATGACTGTGTGAAATAAGATGGCAAAAATTAGTAAGTGTCTTTATGGAGATTTAGTTACTAATTTAAAAAGACATTTAGGAATAACAAATATGAAATCAAATTACAAAGACTAGATTTAAAAAAAATGAAGGAGACGGAACTGGTTAAGAACTAAATTAGGGTCCTAAAGTTTAGACAGAAGAAATCTCTCAACCACACTGGAAAAAACAGATGTAATAGTTTTGAGGGATGAGGGGCATCTTGAAGAGCTTACCTGGTTTGTTTCTAAAAATAACAGGAGTTTAAAAAAGAGAAAATCTGAGAAGACCTAAAACAACGACAAAAAAAATGTTCTAGGGAAACAAATTAGCAATAGAGTACAAGCTGGAAGGAAACATGAAATCCAGAAGTGTTTTTTTCAAATACCTTTTAAGATAACACTTTCATAAGGGGGATGGAGAGAAAGAGAAGTTTGATTCACACAGGACAAATGAGAAAATTAAAAGTTTAATATTCCTAAGGTATTGAATGTAGATGAATGAAGGGCACAGATAAAGAAATATTCTTTAATTGTTGCTGATTATCTAAATATAGATACTTTATAGACTCACTCGGCAGTGAGTAGAAATGTTCAATTACCCTAATGGTCACAGAATTGTGCCCAGATCTCCCCTGGCCTACAGAAAGTCAAAGCCTTTATGTTCTGAACTCTATACCTTCATGCCTCCAGCACCTTGAGGGACATCAAGAGGCATCTGATAGGGAGGAGAGGGAAAGCCCTCTCAACTAGGGACAGAAAAAGTCTGGGCCCACCACCTCAAAATATACATAAAAAAATTGTCATCTAGTGTTTCATCTATCCTTGACTTTCATTTTCTATTAATTTATTTTATTTTATTTCATTTTCTATCAATTTCTTTGATATATACTGTGAAAGAAGAGAAAAAAAATCCTATACTAACAAAAACTATTTATTTTATGTACAATCAACTTCTCCTTAGTTTTAATGTACCAGGATAAGCCAGGAAAATCATGAGAAATTAATATTGACAATGGAAACACTGATCCTCCGAAGGATCTAAGACCAATGAATTATGCTCCTACAATTGTTGTGCTAAATGTAACCCCATTAGGATCCTCTTTTTACACTGATAGTACCAGAATTTGACTCTGAATGATGAAGGTTGAATATCTGTCCAAAGCTTCACAAGGAACTATGATTTAAACTTTGAGTCCCTTAAGTCTAATGTCCCTAAGTCTGTGTCCATCATCTCTGCCTATTTCTCTTCCCCTCTTCCTCATTCCCTGACAGGAATCTCTTCTAGAAATCTCTTCTAGGATTCGGCAATGGCAAAGTGAAATATCACATCCTTCCATTCTCACCTCACAGCAACTGAGTAAACAGAAGTTTGAGAACCACCTTTGTACCTCATGCTTATTGTAACAGATGCATAAACCACGTTTAAGTCATCAAAAGTCAACTTCACATTTAAGGCTAGATTGGCAGCTCTTATTTGTGGCCCCCACCCCTCACTGAATTTATAGTCTCTGTCAGCAGAGGGTGTTTTGCCAACTGAAGCAATAAGAAGAACAAATTATGACGTCAGACTTCTATAATTGGATTTTAAGAATCACTGCAACCATTTCATAACCTGTGAAATATTATTACCATCTGATTCCTTTGTTTTAACATCTTATTTTCTTGTTTGTCTTAGGAAAGCCAAAACCAGCTAAAAGCTCTATTATTTCCATACTGGTAGGTCAAATATAAAAGTCTTAAGGTATAGCTTGATGTCTTTATAAATACAAACAACAAGAAGGAAAAATAGATTTATGGTTACTAAGCTGTAATCTTCTCACAGAACTAAAACATAATAATATTCAATGACAAATGATAGGGAATGCCTTTCTATTAGATTTTTAACACAAGTTTACAACACAGGGATGTTTTATTTCTTTAGTAGTCATTCCAGAGTTAGCAATGCTGTAAGGGAGTTGGTAGAAAATTAATGTACATTTTAAACAACAACAAAAGCGATCTATCTGAAAATATGTGTTGCTCTTTCCCCTCCCTGCACATGTATTAACTTACTGTTGTAATACAATTTATATTACTAGAGGAAGAAAAGATTTCAACAACCAGTATTTAATAGTCTGGAAATTTTAACCACAACTTTTAAAATGATCTACTTATTTGTATTACAAATATCTTCATCTGGGCCAGGCTTATTTATTGAGACTGTTTGTTTTGTGTTATGGTTTGTGCACTCACTGATGAAAATGCTTCTTCTAGTCAAAGCAGTGAATTCAAAATACAGCAACTCAATAAAAACTTTAATTAATCAGGACATGAGCAAAGTGTATAAAACTGTCACATACAGAAGAAAGTATAAAATATTCTAATTGAAAGTGTCACCTCATTGGTGAAATATTTTCACTCTCTTTACTGCATTCTTATAAGTTGTCCTTCAGTGCATAAGGAAATACCAAGGAAGAAATGCCTGATGAACTTCAAGTGTTTCAGAAAGTAAATTCAAACTTTGCTAATACCTAATGATTAATTTTAAAAAACTAAATCATACATTAAAATATTTGAAAATAATCATGGCAGTGGCTCTGAACAAAAATCAATTCAAAGGCTGATGTACCATGTAAAATAGTTTGAATCAGGCCAAAACATGTTTTTATAAATTGCTATAGAAATTAGTTAAATAAAACCATAAAAAGTAACAATTAAAGATGAGGTACAACAATTGTGACATATAAGTTCAAAGTTTTCCAAATTTGACATGTATGTTGAAAAGTTTTAAAATCTATAGTTTGAAAATTTAGTGCTTAAGATAATTAGTGTGCATTAAGACCTCTTGAGGTTCATGGCATAAATATGATTGATGGAGGTGAAAAGCAGTTTGTATAGTAAACTTGCATGGATAGCTAAACATTTCACAAAGAAAAATCTAATCTGATAACACCATATAACAATGTATTTCATGAAATAGTTTTTTTAAAATATAAGCAGCATAAGTGGCTATTTTTACCTGTTTTTTGTGGACCAATTACTAGAAATTTTGGTAAGTGATCACAAGTTTTCTCTCTGGACCAGATGTCTTTGTGTCGTTTATCATCACAAGGATTCTGCAAGAAGGAAGAATAAGTAACCTTACTGTGTAATGAGGGCCCGGCTCTGTTCACTAAAAATTGTTCAAAAGATGGAATCAAAGTCTTGCCTAATAACCTAGAACTTGGAGTTAGACCTCACTTTGGTTCTCTGATGTTCAAATCTTTTAAAAATACCATTATTGGCACCTTCCTTACCTCAAGGCTGAGGCTCAGCATCAAGTCCCTCCTGTTGTTATCATCTTTCAATGTTTGACTAGGTTCTAATCACTGTGACACTACTCTATTTCTTGGTTTATGTTTTACATGTATATATCAGAGGACTTCACTTCACTTGGCTTAATCATAGTTACTCATATTACTGTGCTCTCCCAAATCATTGCTATTTTTTCTCCCTAGAGGCTCGAATGCTATCCTTGAATTCCAGACTTGGCCAACATTTCCTTTTTATATCATTCCATGTTTTGATTCAGATACTCCCATAGTTTTGGCACATTTTGTAAGGTGATAGCTTCTAGATCAGTACCCAGCTTCTACCTCCCTCCTGAGCTCTAGACTTACATTTTATGTTGCAAATACACCATTTTTGTATAGATATGGTGAGGAAATTTCAGACTCAACATACCCAGTGTATCCATTGGTCCAATAATATCCCCATCTAACCTTCACTTTTGGTGCCAGTTTTTATTTCATTTTATCTGACTGACTCTAATTTATTATCAAAATCTTTACACTTCTGAGAATTAAAAGACCCTTTAAAAATAAAAGGATAAAATTTTTGAAATATTTATTCACTGCTATATTGGTTTTCTTACAATGGTGATCTACATAACGATTGTATTCAAAACGATTGTCACAAGTAAAATTATTTTTAAAACACATATACCTTGAAAATTAAAACATTCTATTTTTATATTTATTATCCCAATAATAAAAATGAAACAAGAAGGAAAAGCATTTATGGTTCATATTTATGTACTTTAATCAGTTCCTGTTTCACTTAATTTTTTTTTTAAATTTTATGGATACATACTGGATATACATATTTATGAAATACATGAGATATTTTGATACAGGCATACAATGCTAATAATCACATCAGGGTAAATGGAGTATCCATCACTTCAAGCAGTTATCATTTCTTGTATTACAAAGGTTCTAATTTTATACTTTTGGTTACTTTAAATGTAAAATAAATTATTGTTGACTATAGTCACCTTGTTCTGCTATTAAATACTAGTTCTCATTCATTCTGTCTATTTTTGTACCCATTTACAATCCCTACTCCCACCACCTCCACTTTCCTTCCCAGCTCCTGATAACCATCATCCTACTCTCTATCTCTGTGAATTCATGAGTTCAATTGTTTTAATTTTTCTTTCTTTTCTTTTTTTCTTTTTTTTTTTTTGCTTTGTTGCCAGGCTGGAGTGCAATGGTGCAATCTTGGCTCACAGCAATCTCTGCCTCCCAGGTTCAAGTGATTCTTCTGTCTCAGCCTCCCGAGTAGCTTAGATTACAGGCATGCACCACCTTCAACTAATTTTTGATTTTTTTTAGTAGAGATGAGGTTTTATCATGTTGATCAGGGTGGTCTCCATCTCTTGACCTCATGATCCTCCTGCCTTGGCCTCCCAAAGTGCTGGAAATACAGGCATAAGCCACCATGTCTGGCCAATCATTTTAATTTTTATCCCTAGCAAATGCATGCAAACATGTGAAGTTTATCTTTCTGCTCCTGGCTTATTTCACTTAACATAGTGTCCTCAGGTTTTATTCATGTTGTTAAAAATGACAAGATCTCATTCTTTTTCATGACTGAATAATACTCCATTGTGTATATGTACCACATTCCCTTTATTCATTTCTCCATTTTTGGACACTTAAGTTGCTTCCAAACCTTGGCTATTGTGAATAGTGCTGAAATAAATGTGGGAGTTCAGGTGTCTCTTTAATATACCGATTTCCTTTCTTTTTCACAATAGTTTTTAATAATCATGCTGTTAGATTGCTGGATCACATGGTAGCTCTATTTTTAGTTTTTTGTGGAACCTCCATACTGTTCTCCATAGTGACTGCATTAATTTACATTGCCACCAACAGTGTCCACGTGTTCCCTTTTCTCTACTTCCTCACCAACATGTGTTATTACTTGTCTTTTGGATAAGATACCGCTTCACTGGGGTGATATAATATCTCATTGTAGTTTTAATTTCATTTCTCTGATGATTAGTGATGTTGGGAATCGTTTCATATACTCATTTACTATTTGTATGTCTTCTTTTGAGAAATGTCTATTCAAATCCTTTGCCCGTTTTTAAATTGGATTATGAGATTTTTTTTCCTGTAGAGTTGTTTGAGTTGCTTACATATTCTGGTTAAAGATCCTTTGTCAGATGGGTAGTTGCAAATATTTTACCACAATCTTTGGGCTGTCTCTAAACTTTATTGATTGTTTCCTTTGCTGGGAAGCTTTTTAACTTGATGTGATCCCATTTGCCCATGTTTGCTTTGGCATGGGCTTGTGGGTCATTGCTTAAGAAATCTTTGCCAAGACCAATGTCCTGGAGAGTTTCCCCAGAATTTTATTTTAGTAGGTTTGAGGCCTTAGTTTTAAGTCTTTAACAATCAAATTTTAATTTGATTTTGTGTATGGTGAGAGGTAGGAGTCCAGTTTCATTCTGCATATGGCTATCTAGTTTTTCCAGCACTGTTTACTGAAGAAACTATCTTTTCTCCAGTGTATGTTCTTGGCACCTTTGGCGAAGATAAGTTCACTGTAGAAGCATGGGTTTATTTCTGGATTCTCTATTCTGTTTCATTGGTCTATGTGTCTGTTTGCATGCCATTGCCATGTGTTTTGGTTCCTACAGCTCTGTAGTATAATTTGAAGTCAAGTAATGTGATTCTTCCTATTTTGTACTTTTTGCCTAAGATGGCTTTGGCTATTCTGGGTCTTTTGTGGTTCCATGTTAATTTTAGAATTACTTTTTGTATTTCTGTGAAGAATGCCATTGGTGATATTAATGAGGTTTTTAGATACATCTTTCTTTAATACCATGTCACCAAAGTTCTTCTGAAGAATGTTTTCAATACTCTTATTATTGTTTTGCTTTTCTATAAAATTGTCTGCAATCCTTCTCAAAGTTGCATTTCTTAGTTAATAAATATGAAAGTTGACACTGAAATGTCTCTCTTCTGTAAGCCACTGTATTTTTATTTTTATTTTATTTATTTTATTTATTTATTTTTTGAGATGGAGTTTCGCTCTTGTTACCCAGGCTGGAGTGCAATGGCGCGATCTCGGCTCACCGCAACCTCCACCTCCTGGGTTCAGGTAATTCTCCTGCCTCAGCCTCCTGAGTAGCTGGGATTACAGGCACGCGCCACCATGCCTAGCTAATTTTTTTGTATTTTTAGTAGAGAAGGGGTTTCACCATGTTGACCAGGATGGTCTTGATCTCTTGACCTCGTGATCAACCCGCCTCGGCCTTCCAAAGTGCTGGGATTACAGGCGTGAGCCACCGTGCCCAGCCGCCACTGTATTTTTAACTGGAGAGACAGTTGAGATAAGCTTCTTTTCTGTTTTTGTTTTGTTTTGTTTTGTTTTGTTTTGTTTTGTTTTTTCTTTTTTACACAGTCTTGCTCTGTCACCCAGACTGGGGTGCAGTGGCACCATCTAGAGTATCTGAGACTACAGGCGTGCAGCACCATGCCTGGCTAATTTTTGTATTTTGTGGTAGAGATGGGGTTTTGCAATGTTGCCCAGGCTGACCTGGAACTCCTGGCCTCAAGTGATTCTCCAGCCTTGACCTCTCAAAGTGTGGGGATTAGCATGAGCTACTGTGTTTGGCTGAGAAGCTTATTTTAAATTCTATTTTTTAAATATTAAAATGTCTAAATATTAGAGACCAAATATATTCACAATTATTTTCCATTGAGTGTTTTTCTTTGACAAATACTTTTAAATGTAACACTTGTCAAGTGAGTTTTCTCTAATTATGATTCTTTTAAACATTGTGCCAAATATAGGTGCTGCAAAATCATAGGCTTCTCAATATCATTTTATTCCAGCAAAGAATATAATTTTATCCAATTAAAAATAAGAGGTTCATTAAGAAATGCTTAGGCTAATTCTTCTTAGTGTCATTATATAGACTAAAGGGACCAGTATCAATCTGGTATTCTGCAGAATCTAACACTGACCCACTGTACTGATGACATGATAGTTGGACCTGACATATAAGTGGGAAATATTTGTCTGTCTTGATAAAACACATGCACTTCAGAGAATGGAAGACAAACATACGAAGTTTCAGGAGGCTTCCACCTTTTAAGCTTTCAGATGTCCAGACATCTTGAATACACTGGGACATCCCATTCATAGCAAAGTGTGAGTTACACCTTGCAATTCTTACTGCTAAGAGGCAGCACAGTGCTTGATGGGCCTCTTTGGGTTTTGGAGGCAGCATATAGTTGCACTAGGAAACATTTCTCTGCACATTTATTGAGTGATACAGAAAGCTTCAAGTTTTGGTAGGGGCCTAGAGCAAGACAGGGGTATGCAGTAGCTAAGGTTGAAGTACAAGCCACCCTCACACTTGGGCTTTATATGTCGGACGATTCATGATACTATGGCATCAATGATATAAATGGATACCATGTAGGATATTTGGCAAGTACTTGAAAAGAATCACAATGTACACTTCTAAGGTTCTGTAGCAAGGCATACTATCGGAATCATATTATGCAAACCACAGCTCTTGGTATGCTTCTGTGCTACAGAAAAAGAGTGTTTGCCAGGGCTTTTTAATGTGATCACGTGGCCATAACTACCCAACATGAACAGAGTAGTGATAGACTCGTCAAATCATAAGTTCAGGTATGTCCAGCAATTCATGGTAAGATGGGAATGGTATATATGGGATCAATCTCAGGCTGATCCAGGAGGCACTTACAAATCAGTGGCTCCTGACTCTATGTCAACTGTCACTGTTCCACTGATGCTTCTCCATCAGCTC